CATACGCCCGGGTGCAAGTTAGCCTAACACCTAGGGAGGACGTCCCGGGACGCCTCCGACACCCGAGCGTAATACACAACTTTCACACTCTACATAGGTACGTACCATTTTCCTGAAATCGACTGGCAAAGACTAGCATCCATTGCGAAAATAGAAAAATTGTCAAAGTAATGTATGTATAGTTGGTATATTTTATATCGATTACGTGTTAATTTTCTCGTCTGATAGCGAGAGATTTTAAAACAGTACATATTCCATTGAAAGTTAATTATAAACATTGTATGAAGTAAAGGAATATGTACGACCGATAACGGAAATTGTAAAAAATTGTTCCAAGGTACAATTACAGATGAAATGTTAATTGATAGAAATAGAAACCGACGCAATTCCACTGCCTAACCACACACACACAAGTGGAAAATACGTCGTGCACGGTAAGCTAACTTCGCCAGTCGCATATACATGTTATTTATATGAAATCAAGCCATCGTTCCCCGTTGCTCTCACCCAATCAAGTAGCACCTGGGCACGTGAAAGGGTTTGAGCAACGAACACGGAATCAATATCCTGAAAATCCTAACTAAAAAATATATTACATAGTTCATTCTCTTCTAACGGGCTAATATTCTCTTGGAATAAAAGTGACTCGACTTTGTATTAATAAAAATTGAACAGCAAATATTATTTATTTATTACTATTGTACAATTTAATTGTCAAGACTCTAAGCAAGATTTTGCAATAATATATATGACTCTAGATATATTGAACAATCCTCGGGCGATCCCGTCGTCAAAGCCAAATGTAAGATATATATCAAGATATAAGTATCACAGACAGGTCATTTTGACTCAGAGATCTACCCGTCGCGAAATGCCTTCTTGTACACGGTCTCTAATATCACATATGTCTAGAACGTTACGTTCTAGCTCAATCTGTGTGTATCAAAATGCGCTACTTAATTTTTATATCTGTCTTCGAGTAACGTGGTAGTACGTATTCGATATAATTCTTCACAGTTTCATTAGTAAAATATACAAACAAGCATTATATATTGGTCAGTGATGCTTCTTGAATATTCCTATTTGTATTAAAGATATAAATGAAGACAAATATATCTTCCATACAAATAAGAATATTCATGAAGCATCACTGACCAATATGCAATGCTTGTTTGTACATTTTACTAATACTGCATTTAAATGATAAATAAATTTACTTTATATTAATTTTCTTATTTCATTACAAATGACGGTGAAACTTTTGAGAATAATAAAGAACACACTAACGGGTGAAATCAAAAGTGATTAACACGCTAACAATCATAAAAATTTACTCTATTACCAGAGTTGTCCAAATGCCACCCACGAGCTACAAGCAATTACAAGCCTCCCCTCGTGGGTTTCCCCGACTACCGACCTCAGATTGACTCGAGCGAGTCAACCAGAGTCCCGTAGTGGGGGTACCTCCGGAAGGGAAGAATGCTGCTCGCAAGTGGTAGATGGACACCTCTGGCTCTGTCCTTTTTAAAGGATAGACTTTACAAATATTCATTTCTTCTGAGTACATATGTACGTCTACCATAACGATATGTTTAAGAAAGACGCTGCTAAAACACAGTAGTACCTTCCCTGCATTTAACGCTCACACTCCATTAAAGTGGTCGTGAGTACACGCCAGCACGTTTCGATATACATATTACTACCGGTGTGTACGTAAAATTGGGTAAAATTCTTTGCTATTGACATCAAAACGACCGGCCACGATAATGATAGTGCAATAATTTAACACGTGTGCACCCATGTTAAATTATTCCATAACACCAGGTTTTTCACGAGGGTGTATAAATCAACACGTATTCGTTTTATTGACCGATACTTTATTATGATTAACAAATACGAATGAAACCTGCAATACTGGTTCCAATTTTTGAAACATGCTGCCGCGTCTCGTGGTATTGCGCTAACTGCTGTATGTAACATGCACATATAAAAAGGCACCACAATGTTTTTCCCTTTACTTTAAACATATCGGCGTGGTTCCTGTTCTTTCGATTCTATATTCGTCGACATATATTTCATACATTAATGTGTTCAGTATTATTTTTCAATCAATTGACCGTACTTGTAAACAACACTAGAATAATTTTTATGTAATCGTCTTGATTGATGAAAAGACATTAATAGAATAATTTTAGTGTAATCGTTTTCGATATGACAATAAATATACGACTAATTGCCATCAAGTTACTGTATTCTCTAGTTAACTGAATAATATAGTACCACGTTCTCGATTAATAGAAAAATATCAATTGTTGTAATGAATAGGACTTCTGGTCTCAAAATATCAAAGATCAATATTAATCAATAATTTCATGTTATGTTAATGATTCGTTTATAAATATACTTTCAATACAAAATATTTCTGAATTATATTATTAATAATAAACGCGGCGTACAAGAAGACCCTAGCCTATCTAAAAAATACAACAGATCGATGTCACTACTCGCGGATATGATTGCATATCCGCGTTCACTGTACTCGCAATATTAAGCACGTATACAACCAGTCACCCGTGTCGCTTTGGACCAATCGTCCTACGACATGATTGGGGACTGGAGGAATAAAAGCATGCGACTCACCCGATGACAGAAGGGCTCCGTCTAAGACTCTAGGAATCTGGAAAAAAAAGGAACAAAATGCGTTATAATCTCTTTTCAAAACTTTCGCTATTTCGGTTGAATAATGTAAGTAATGAAATTTAAAAATGCTTACAGTCTTGGCTGGTGGAGCTTCGCCCGAGGACATCCTCTGCAACGGTCGTTTATACAGCACCTGATGAATCTGATAAAAAAGGAACAGAAATCGTTACAACCTCTTCTCAAAATTCTAGCTGTTTCAATTGAATAGTGTAAACAATAGAATATAAAGATACTTACATCCTCTGTAAACAGAGCTGCGCAAAAATATTTTCTTCGGTGATGCACTGACTCTACTTTCGCGACTCAAAAAGTAAAAAGTGTCCCGACACTCTGACAGTAATTGATAACACGCAATAAACACTGACTCTAATTTCACGAAAACCTAGCATCTCCGGTGAGATTCTACACGGAGCCAGTTCGCTCCGCATAAATCAAAAATCTTGTACGATATAAACACTGATTCTATTCGACCGCATTGCGCGCGGCCACAAAATTCTCTGAAAGAAAAGTACATGGGAAATACAAGGCACACTTGTGCCTGCCTACTGTTTTAGTTTCTGTATCCTACCAAGTGTTTGTCGAGAAAATACTGCCTTTCAATAATTACCATGAGTTCAAATATTATTAAATATTACAAAATAATTATTCAATTGAATATAAATATATTAAATCTGTTATATATATTATTATATTTAATATTTATGTATTATATTAAAGACATTTGTTGTTAGAGCTGTAAGCACGTTCATTTTCTCTATCTAAACCGCGTCCCGATTTTTGTAAATATTCCGAAAATCATTGCAAATATCAACGTTTCGTTATTTACCCGTGCTTCGATGAGCACGATGAATTACGCATTTTCGAATAATCAAACTTACAACCGAAACTGTATGCAAATGCAAACACGATGATTCCATAAAGATAGACAGATGAAATTATTAATATTAAAACAATATCGCGACCGTGACACAGTAAATTGCGAATATTTCGAATTTAAATGTTCGAAAGTAATGTTTAAATTTCTAACGGCCACGGCAGCCATTTTGAATTCCACAATTGCGCATTTAAATTCAAAGTATACATACTTGCCGGAAGAATTCTCGTTCGATCTTTGCACAATAAATCACAAAATCGCGATCACGCTTACAGCCAAACACAATAGAAGCACGATAAAATAAAAATATATAATAGATTGTCACCTATTTGTTGCAACAAATTACCATGTTTCACCAATGTTTCGGTGTGTTGTTCCAGCCGGTCCTCTGAAACAGAAAATAAACGCGTTTACTCCAAGCAGTTACATCAAATTACCAATGGTTTCGTTACAAATAAAGAACTATTGTGCTCGAGGTGTGCCGTAAAATATTGGATAAGAAGTGGACAAAGAAAGTCGTGAAAACCGATCACCATGTCCCGTAATATCGAATTAATTTACGACAATTTACTCTAAAATGAATAAATATTAAACGAAAGTAACGATAGAGAGCTAACGAAGGCACTAATAATTAGTATAAACGATTAGATGTGAGAGGTAAAGATCACGTACCGACTCTTCGACGGGAGCAAACTCACGTCACGTCTTATCACACTAACTTCTTCGAGACGAATGACCCTTAGGCCGTCTTCGGCTGGTCGCGATGTCGCGATCTGTTGATTCGGCTATCTTGGGGGGACCGTGATTGGTGGGTCGGCGGGCGAGGATAACTACCCTTCCTGCTCACTCCAATTTCTATTTCAACGTAATAGAATATTCAGCGCCGTACGACCTTTTTTTTTTGACGTATACAAGCAATTAGCTCAACGGGCACGGACCTTCGTAAAACGGAAAAACAGACGTACAAGGACGAATTCTCGGAAATTTCATTCCACAGCACTCCGATGGTTATAAACAATGCCAAAGCCATATGTTTCGTGCCTCTCTTTGACCAAAATTTCGAATATATACATTCTATTGTAGCCTACGACTAATGAATGAATTCAACCGTGTACGTATCCCAGGCTATTTCCGAAAATTTATTTTACTTCGTTTTAGATGGAAAGTACCTATTGATATACAATGTCTAGTGGTATTTTTACTGACACTTTCTTAAAGTTTTGAAACACACACAGTATCATTAAAATGAAAATATAATTAACCTTCAAATTTAAGAAGATTCTCCACTTATGAAGAAATTATTACTGTTATGTAATGACAATCCATACTAACTCACTTCTGTGAATAAACTTTTTGATATCTTTTAAAATAATGGAGATATGTAATTAAGATGAACAATAAGTGCGTACATTCAGCTCACCCTATAAATTGCTATATCTCGCATATGAACGGACGATTGGTGGGGAAAGCGCGCGATTTGACGCTCGTTACATGATCAGTTCGTAGAAATTTGGCCCTCTACAGCCCCGAGATGATCAATTATCGAGCGTCTACTGTTGTATATATATATCTTAGAAAGTTTGAATAATTTAATTACTATTAACTAGTAGTTTGATCTTTCGCCCTAGATGACGCTATTGGTGTTTTTACCAATTTATTCTTACGGATTAACAATTATTAATAAGAAACGCCAGTGAAGAAAATATTTACTTTCTTTAATCAGGGAATGATTAAAATATTTAACGTGAGAGGTAATAAATCTTTATTAACGATTAGACCAACAAATTTACACATTGCACTCCTCATGTCAATGTTGTTCAATAATCAATTAATTACTAATTATACTATATACCCTTCAAGATATTTTCTATAGGTCTTTTAAAAAATGTTTGATTTATATTAGTTATTTCCCACAATAAAAGCTTCTGTTGTTCTGAAAAATTTAGATTCGTCTTTATGAATAATAACACTAATTTTCCAAAATTTTTATCTGTTGAAAAGTCATATGCTTTTTCAGATAACATACGTATGAATTTTTCATTTGTAACAGTATCTGTTTTAACAGTCATAAGATTTTGTAGAATAGGAAGGTGCCATGACTTAAGTTCTTTTATATAAGATAAACATTCCCTACAAGTATGGTTAATATTAATCAGTCGTACAGTGAAACGTATTTCAACATAATTAGTAGACACTAATACCACTAATACATACATAATGAGAGCAGGGTTTCTTTGTGGTTCAAAAGCATTCACTATAGCATTGACAATTGTTGTGTCTTTTAAATCAACATTTAACAGGGGGATAAAAATTAATTTTTGTATGTCATCTGGAAATTTTTGTACACTTTCTGTGATAACAGATAATAACATTTTTGAAGGTTCTTCTATAGCAATTATCTACAACAAGGCTTAAATAACATTACTTGTCTAATGTAAACAATTATATTAGGTAATATAACAATCTAATCTTTATAAATTGAAAAAATAAACATTACCTTCGGTAACAATAAATAGGTATGAAAGACAGTTGTGTATTTCATTCTTTGTTCTGAAGTCATATTATTCAAAGAGCAGCATAGATTATAGGTACCTGTTATGTTTAATTTTTTTTCTAAGTCACAGACTATATCCACAAATTCTTCATCCTTTAAATTTTCTAGTATACTTAAATCCAATTTTCCATTAGTATGCTCTAAACCTTCAACAAGACACTCCACAATATCACATGTTTCTAGAGATGTTTGTTTAACTTCTGTGTTCAAATCTTTTTCAAATTGAGTAAAATAAAATTGAGTAGATGGTTGCTGAATGTAATCGTGCAATCTGGATGAACTATCATTGTCACTTTCATCATTTTTGTCTGTACTTTCATTTTCACTTAGACATATTTCTTCTTCCTCCTAAATAATACATTTTTAGTAATTTAAGATTTATGCTGTCTTTATTACTAACACCAACCTTTCCCATTATACAGGTCCACAAAGGATCAGCCTCATTTGTGTCTTTTTTCAATTTTTCTTTAATCAATTTTATCTTCTCCAGAGAATACTGTGATAATACATAATCTTTCAAAACATTTTTTTTATTCATATTCTTGATAATAAATTATCTTATTATCTGCTGTCCGTATAAAATTAATACTCGTAATGAAAATTAAAGAGCAAACGACTTCGAATAATTGAAACCACTATGCTTTTTATGTTTTCATCTGAAAATTGGCAAGTATTAAATAATAAATCTGAAACCAAATACGGGAATTCCCGCCAATGTTAGAGATCAACAAATTAGAAAAAGAATTTCTGATAATTTTTTCGTTTTTAGATAAGTACACTTGCTTGAATCTGTTACGCATGAAAAACGAGGACATAGCAATAATTGCATTTAATTCTCAAACAAAGATAATAATGATAATAAACACATTTAATTCTCATTAGGTTAAACCCCATGGAACACGTTATACGTCACCACGTATGTATGTACATATGTATATACATACTGGTTGTACAAACGATCAGTCGAGATCGCAGACAATACGTGCGTACACTGCATAAGAATATATCTTCGAGAGGTTAATGTCAAAATAACTGAGGGAGTGTTCAACGATCGTATTTGCGGATAATATTGCTGGAAACAAGTACAAATAAAACTTTTCCTACGAAGTAAGACAAATTGGCCAGATGAAAATCGGGTAAAGAACATTTTAACTTTTCGTAGACTAAAAATTTGTGACTGTAGGATTCCTTTGTTGTCACATGAATTGTAGTGTTTTGAATTTAAAAACTTTATATACATATCGATATGCCGAATACATATGGGAAATACAAACCGTATGTATAAGACGCAGTAATATATTTTATTATGTTTACTCAAATACATTAATATATACATACAATCCGGGCATTTTGACAATGCCATTGATGGTGTCATTAATCAAACGAAATCAAACCTGTTACATTTTTACGTTTTACAAAGTTACGGAATGAAATTCAAGTTATTTTAAATTGTATAATCAGAAGCATCTAACATTAAAGAAAAAAACATAATTTTATCCACTCTGTGTTCTACTCGCTTAATGATACATTTTGTACATAATTTCATAAAAATTGTTTCTGTTTTTGTTTATTTCAATATCCATTCGGTAGACGATAAAACAGATGATGGTAACGCAACTATTTTTTTATATAAATTGTTGTATTACAGATATTGTCGATTTGACGCGTATCATATCTATTATTCCAAACGAACATTAGTTGAAGTAGAAATTAAAGAAACTTGTTAACACAATTGCCACATATCTCCAAGATAAGTATCAAATATGAATGCGGATTGACCAAAAAGGGTGCGGTCAATTGTTTGGTGCTTAATACATGTGTAAATAAATTTCCGAAGATTGGAGTCATGATATGGTGTACATTTGATTTCTATGCTGATATAAATATTATTGTTGTTCCATTAGAAAGAAGAAAAAACAAATATATTTGTAAAATAGGAAACAGTTTTTCATACTGATAAGTATCTTTGAGGAAAATGCCGATACTTACGGGCTTATCTCGAAGATTTCATATGTTAACGACGGATGCAATACCTGGACCACCTCGAGTAGAAATCAAAGGATATACTCATAATTTAAACACCGTTGAAGGAAGCGGCAAAGCAAAGACGAAATCGGAAGGCGACAAATCTTTGATCACTGGTTCTGCACCTACGAATACTCGACCTTCGGAGACAAAACAAGACTTTGACGAAATTAAGTTTCCTACCAGTGATGAAAAGCAACGTAACAAACCTAATGTTAAAACAAAAACAAAATCAAAACAGTGCAAGTACAACAGTAAGTATACTGCAGTTGTTAAAGCTATACAGTCTAATTCGATCATTCGTAATTAAGTGACCAATATTTGAAGTTGTATTCCTGTTCTTAGCGCAAGGAGCACGCATTGTGAATTACAATATAATTAATTCGAATGGAGTGAACATCGGCTCAAGAACTAGTTACATTTGCAATGTTAATCAATTTCCTACGAAAAATACGACGTCGTCGCAGGGTTCCTGGCCGAAATCGAGTACACAACAAATGCCCGCGGATGTCGAACGCTTAAGCACGTGTACCGATGAAATCACATTGGAGGATATATTCATTATTAAGACCCACATTGGACACGGCTGGAAAGACATTGCCAGAAGGCTATTATATTCAGATGGTCAAATCGAACAATTCGAAGAAAATTATAAATTCAGAGGAATAAGCGAAGTACATTAAATTGTTATTTACAAATATACAATTGTTTTTCTTCTTATAAGAATATTTGCTAATGAATGTTTTAATTTCCAGGTAATATATCAGATACTCTTAGACTGGAAACAGGCTAACACGAAAGATGCGGAAATTGGTAACTTAACAAACCTATTATGGGCCTCTCAAGAATACGATTGTGCAAAACGATTAGTCTCTTCTCGAAAAGATTCTACTTGATACATTTCATATATTCCAAGTTTGATACGTTATGATATCGTCATTTTTTTGTTTACTGATCAAGCCATCATGGGTGTAGCCAGAGAGGGCACTTGCCCCCTCCCTCCCCCCCTGGACGGAAAAAAATGGCTTTTGCCTTACTCAAGAACATTGTTTTCGTCGAAAAATATAATATTTTAATATCACTGAATATAAAAAAATGAATACCAAGAATTATATGCGTGTGATTATCTTCTTATACGCGCCGAAGATAACGTAGCACCTAGATTATTATCTTCTATTCTTGTACTAAAAATCTGATTTTTACAATGTTCAAATTCAGTTAACATCTCCTTTAGACTCTTGTTTCCATCCAACACTAAAACTGGTGCTGGTACAGTAAATAACGTTTGATGATAAAGCCATTCTTCATGAATGTCATGAATTTGTTTCAAATATTCTAATGACACAGAATTTTCTTCCATTCTTGCTCTTTCTTTCATCCTCTGGTATACAATCTCCGGGGATGTCCTTAAGTATACTGTTTTTAAAATAAACACAAATATTTAATATAAGTAATTAACATTCCCGTATTGAATAATAAAAATATAATTATGTACGAAACTGATACGTTACCTATTAAATCTGTTTCTATATGACAATTTGTTATACACCAATCGTACCAATCTTCTAAGATGACAGTCTCTATGTCTTTCAATGTTTTTGAACGTTTCATACTTTCAATAAAACATCTTGCACTATACACTGATCTTTCCATGATTTTATATGGGAATGAAGTTTCATGTGTGTGTAATTTAAGCATTGTTAGCTGTACATAGGATTGAAATAAAAAAGCATATCGGGTAGGGTCAGTGTACATCAATTCCTAAACATGGACAAAACATATTTGTTATCCCATTTGTTTGCACACTAATACAATGTAATGCTACTACATTTAAATTTATAAAGTTTTACTAGTAAGTTAGTTCCAGCTTTATTTCGCCAAAGCTCTACAGGTTCTTGCAGTACCGTTACATTCTTGAATTTCTTAAAATGACTCAAAAATGTTGTTTTACCACTTCCTATATTTCCCTCTAGGCATACTGTAAAAGGCCGTTTGAATAATGTACATGGAGTAGCCATTTTTGTTAATACTGTGACCACAGATTTTCCTTCATGAACATAATAAATAATGAAAAAGTAGTATCAATAGAAATCTATTCTCTAAAGTATGTAAATATTCTTAATCGCTTTGAAATTCGTATTGAATTGCTTACCGTCAACAAGCAATAAAGAAAAGTATCAAACTTTTCAAAGAAATAATTGCGTTTTAATTTAAAATAAGAACTAACACTTTAAATACTGTTCACACACGTTAACCTACTCCACCACAAGCCATGTAAAATTTTCAAGTATATCTCGTGGCACCACAAGTATTTAGTTTTCAAAATAAGCAGACTTACTCATTTCAGACTTAATAAGTAATAACTACACTAAAAAAAAGAAATTCTGCGAAACACGGAGTAATTTGATGTTATTGAGATTTACCGCGGCATTTTACTTGGAAGCACAGAACTGAATGCTTACACAAAAAGGTTTCTTGTAAGCACTTCTAAGCAAGTACGATAATTCGCGCGGGAAAATGTTGAGATGTGGTGATCACGTGACGATCCCTGTCTATTCACGCTAAAGAATTTTATTTTATCATGGATGAACAGTAGTAACTAGTAACTTTTTAAGTAGCTCTGCATTAACGAATTTTAATTAATACCAAACGTTACGAATATAGTATAAATAACAAATGCAGAGGGCAATGTAGGCAAAATATTATCTGTTTGAGCTAAGGATTGAGCAAGTCACAAAATACGTTACTTTTACCAGACCGTTTCACGAGAGTAAGTGTATTGCTTGACTAAGAGAATTTATTCAGTCTCACACAAAATCGGCCTTCTACAAACTCCACTTGATTATTGTACTATTAATTAATAAAAAAAATTTAGTGAAATGTTTTGTCATCCTAAAGCACAAGAATTTAACCTCTTCAAACCTGACTTTTTTCAGGAAAAATTTTTTTATGGAATTCTTTTATTTGGGACAAAATCCAAACTTCAAAATAAACGTTAAAAACACCGTTCATTGTAATATGTACTAGGTCTGAAGAGGTTAATGCAGTATTTTGTTTAGAAGAATGAAAAAGATAAGTTTGATGGATGTTTGGGGTTCTTGTAAACAGTTACGGTCCTGCCATCACGAACGGACCAATGAGAGGTCTAATCGCGTGCTGAAACGGTCGTCATTATTACTGTAACTTATTCCATTCTTAACTGAAACGAATAACATGTGTAGAATTATCTTTAACTAAAATGAATAATACTGCATGCTACCATTCGTGAGTAAACATTATGCTTAGGGTTGTATACAATCTACAATCTTTTAGAAAGAGAATTATCCTGTTTTACGGTACATAACGCAATACGCAATGAGATGAAATATATACCCGGCATTTCTAATGTTGAATTGTGATCTTCTATCAGAATGATTTATTATTTAACAAATACAAACTTACCAAGAAAAGTCATGAATGTCGACATTTTATTATCACGCAACGTTTAAATTATAGGAATGTAAACAAATTTGAATGTTTTTCTATTCTCGACACACTCTCACCACCTCGTTTACACCATTTAATAGTCATGAAGTACTTACATTATAGATGTACTTATTGGGCTTGATAACAATCACCAATAATGTAATACTAGTGTTGCGTGGCCGTTTAATAAAGATTTTGTAATTGCGAATTTAGGCAGGGTTCGGGTCCCCGTGGAGCGCTGATACGCTCTTCTCGAGTTAACTTCAATAAATACTCGATAAATGAAATAAAACTCAGGAACTTGTATTTGAACTTGTTAACAAAATTATAAAATGAACAATAAACTTGAATTAACAATACATTAAAGTTATTTGTGCTTTTCTACTATTTAGAAAAGTAAATATCAAATACGAGTAATTTCTAGTCATCAATGTTATCATTTTGACATTTAATCAATAATTAGTTATCTAATACCCTGATTCATTGCCTCAGTTACGCTGTTGTACAATTCATATTTGCCGCGCCTAATTTGAATCTGCGCCTACAGATGACAGTGTAGTTACATGTACTTATTCCTAAAATTCTGAACAGATGGCGCTTGATTCTAAATATTACCAGTTGCGAATACGCAACACTAGAAACGTAATTTCCCCAAATGAATTACTGAAAATCGCGTAGGCGCTTATATCAACAAAGAGCTCATTCCGAATAGCATCTTATTTGGAGCAATAAGAATAGACTTCAGTAACATCCAATGCATGTTTGTAGCTTGATTTTCTGGGGCGCTAGCACCCCACTACTATTCTTGTGTCACGCTCAATGTTACCGATAAACATTGAGCTTTATGTGCTTTTGTTTCGATACCGAGTACTGTTGGTATCGATACCTGCGGTTGCGATACCAAGTAGGTATCGAACAAAAATACTCGTATCGAATGGTGAGTATAGACCTGTGTAGTAGCACCGACTAGGTATAGGATAGACCTATCACCTTATGGGACTTCGTGTCTCATGTTCTGAAATACCGATAGTATAAAAAGTCAGGGATTAATATAAAACATAAAATATACAGATTATGTGTCGCGTGTAAAGAACTGTTAGGTTTCTCCACCAATCAGAAACGATCACGAGAAATCACGAATCACTGTGAAAAATTACCGTAATTGAGAACGAACGTGATCGAATCACTAATATGAATGGAATATATAACACTTCATTGGTGCTAATAATACTCAGAATTCATGCTTTATCGGTAACGTCGGATATTGACACTAAAATGGTAACAGGGCTACGTAGCCCTATGAACGTGGGACAGAAAAAAGCATTGGATGATAGGTCTATTCTATACCTAGTCGGTGGTAGTAGTTTGGTAACAGGGGTCATAGAACCCCCGGTGGAGGCGCCAGAGACCCTGTATAAATCACGAATTTTGGGTATTATTAGCACGAATGGAGCATTATATATTTCGTTCGTGTTAGATACGTTGTTTCGTAGAGATTGATAATTCAGTATACAGAGGAATCACGCATCGAATTGTCAATGTTTTTAAAAAACACGTATTGAAGATGTCAAAGCTGGCAATTTTGTATGCAGAACATCGATTCTGTAGGCTTTAACAAATAGTTTAACATCATGGGAAAAGATATGTTATCGCGATTAGTACGATTTTCTTTTGGTTTTCATCACATACCACTGGACATCACGAAAAAAGAGAGCTCTTATTTTACTTGGTAACTCAAGTCAAGTGAGTCAAATTGCCTGAGTGGGATGCATAGATTAACTGCCGGTGCACTATAATGTAAACATGACTGAAGAACTTTCCGGTGTGACAATAGTAATATTTATTGCGGCTGGCGTGTTAACAATATTATTATTGTTTATTTTTGCAAAACGTCAGATTATGAGATTTGCCTTGCGATCACGTCGTGGCCCTCATATTCCTATTGGACACGATGCCAAAAAGGTACGAATAGTTACGTTGTTCATAGTATTCCTGTTACAAATGAAGACTTCGTTCAATTTTTTAGTCACTAAAGAAGGAAATTGAAAGGCGAATTGAAGTAATACCTAGAATCCAATACGAACCACAACTTATTAGCGATCCACGATTCATCGTGACACCTCACGCGCAAGTTTCGCCACATTACTATAGACTAAAAGCAGTAGACGACGTCAAAGTATTGGGTAATTATACCTACACGTTTATTGTAACAAATTAAAAATTAAACCTTAAATCGATGGTTAATATTTTGTTCTTGTAGAAGCGGAAATTACAAAATATGATAGTTGTCTCAAGAGACATCCGTCTGAAAATTTAAGAGCTTATTTTCTTTCTACATTAGCCACTCCGCTAAATGAAAGCGGGCAACGGTTAATTCATCAATTTTGCGATTTGTACGAACATGCTAGGCATGATCCGACAGAATTTGGAGATGAAGAGTACCAAGAATACACGCGATTGTTTCTTAAATTAATGGATGCGTAAGTGCTTTTAATAGAGTGCTTATTATAATGTAATCGCATATATGTTTAAATTCAACTGTTTTGTTTTTTTAGAGCCCGTCTACTAAAATCTTATCCAAGTAGTAGAAAATCTAGTCCAAGTCGTACACCTATAAAGAAAAGTGTTGAGACAAAACGAAATATATTAGAGCCTCGAATGAAAATGCCAGAAGACCATACATTAAGTGGATCAAGACCCAACACATTGACAGTTATGACTCTAGATAATAGTGAAACATCTGTTTAGCATTATGAAAACTGGCACAAGGTGTGCAAGCAAAAAGGTGTTCTACAGTATTAGATATGTTTCATAGTATGACTTCATGTTTTCTTGTTTTAATTTCTTATGTTAAATCTGCAATTTGTATAAACACATTTATTGTAAAAATTGTTTCCTTGTAATATATATAATTTATATTTACACTTCAGTCTTAATCGATAAATATTTCGACCATACCTCCTTATAATATGAATTATGTCTTACAGAAATTAATGAACGATGAAATATGAGCTTGTACATACTAGGAATAGTACTTGTTCTCATGTTGTTTAACCATTCCATGATCTAGAACATGTAAGAGAAACGAAATGTTTGTCAGCTTTCACAACATTCTTCCTAGAGAAAAGAATTCACTAGTTTTAAAGCATTAACCGATGCACAGAGACATATGTAATTGCAGCATACCTGAGGAATCACATGCTTCCAATCTTGCCTATCAGAAAGGATCGAGATAGCATGAGGAAACAACTCGACTCGGACGTTCGTAGATGTGGCCAATGAATCTTGTTTCATTAATGTGCAATCGATGCCAGACACACTGATGATAGACACGAATAAAACGCTGCAGTAAAATTGTACTTTGTTACTATTGTCCTGCGACGATTCGAGCAATAATCCTTGAATCTGTGTCATAAAATCTACTATCCAATTTGTGATGGACTTCACAAATTGCATTTCCCTGTGTATTCTTTGAATAGTTTCGAGAAGATACACCTGTACGCTTTGGAAAAATATTAAAATGAGTTTTTATGTATAGTGGTATTCAAGAGAATTGTGTCAAATTATAACACGCAACAGTACTTTACATTTACCTAGGTATGGATGCTGTTTCGTCGATGAGTTCGTTCAACCACGTTAAAGGAGATTCAGGGCATTTCTTTATAATGAATTCAGCTCTAATCACGATGGCATTTTTTAATTCATTAATTGTTATTTCCAACCATGTTCTAGGAGATGTAACTTTCTCCAAGTGCTTTGTCGACAACTCCAGAACTGCTGTAATATAAGGCTTGAAACGTTCGCAAGTTAAATCTACTCTATAGAAAAGTTTCTCCAGTAAGATGGATAGGAGGGTGAAATTCTTGTCGCTCATGTCTTGGCTTCTTAAAGTTCGAGCATATGCAGACATAATAGAACCGAATAAGTTTATAAAATGCTCGTTATTGAAATTCATTTTCTGTAGTACATATTTCAATGTGGTTTTTAAGAACGGTTTAATGTTATTCGGTTCGACGACTTGACACAAATCTTCAAGATTCGAATACAGCATGAAGCACTCGTTGTTTAGGTGGACATCGGGGTTAGTTTCTGATTTATACGTGGACAAATAATCTTCTATAATAGATCTGGCAGACAAAGATACCTGCGCATTGTAACAAGCGATGGAAAAAGCATATTTTTTAGCTTCGGGTGATAGAACGGCAGTATCTTTGAGGATATTCCAATTAACATTTGGCAACGGTTTTGGGTATCTTTGAGCAAAAATTCTCAGGCATTCCGTAATAATACGATGATTATTAGATTCAGCTTTGTTAGATCGTCTCAAATATTCACCGACACCTCTTATTACGCTTTGTTTCGGCAAATATTTAAAATTCTCAGGCTCCCCGTGAGGCCAAATATAAATTCCTGATCGAAAATTAGACACTTCTTCGTTCACGAATGAAATTAACAGATCTCCAGCAACGGACAACGCTGTTTTATTTATTTTCTGAAGCATTTCTATCCAACAAGTGGAGGGGATGTATTGAAATACATCTTCCGGTTTTGTTGGAACATCCGTTGACGTTACGGGACCCGTTTTTTGTGTTATAAGATGCGATCGAAAGTCTGCAGGTAATGTTTCCAGAGACATATGCTCTAGACGATAACAACACAGTGATTTAAGCGCAGATTCGATTACTCTGGTATCGTTACACATCGCGTATTTCCACAAATTCGAAACTATACCAGTAATCAGTTGATCATGCTCTTCGATAGCCAGAGACGACGGATACGAAATAATATCACCGAACAATTCGCAAAGACTCTCTAAGACAACGGCACGTTTCTCTTTCTCCATTTTTGGGGCTAATACTCTCCAGGTTGAAGAAATATCTATTACAGAAGCTTTACAAAGCGCAGAAATACTTTTAATAGCGAGTGCGCTTGCGGTTCCACCATTTATGTCTGTTGAACGATTTAATATTTGTGACAGCAATGGTACCAATGTTTCTCCATGTTCAGGATGATTTTCACAAATATACTTCATAGCTCTTGTACAGATTGCGTTCGAATACCAAGAAGGATCGGTTTTCGTTAGATCAATTATTGCAGCCAACACAAACCGGCAACACCTTGGTTGTGCTTTCAATGTTTTCAGATACAGCTCGATGGCACAATATTTTAATTGGCTATCACCCTGCAGTAGCGAGTCCAAAGTGTGGGTAACAATCGGAACGTTTTCTCTCATAGTTACTAACTCTGGTACAACAGGCAGCAAGTACCTTAATTCTGTGGTGCTTTTACTCTTGGCCAATTTACATAATAATAGAGACAGCAAATGTGATTCGAAACTTTTGATTTCTCTGCAAACATCCACAAGTATGCTGCAGCTTAACTTAGCTGCTTCTGGATGTGTTGTTTGTAAAAATAGTCCGGACAATAACAGTTTACATTTGTGCTTCAAATCGATTGGTACTTGCGACATACCCTTCAACCAGAGTAAAATATCATTTGAGTTGCAGACATTCAGACTACGCACGATCTCCACGTGGAACTGAACGTAAGGATCGAAGTAACTGAAAGTTTTGAAAGTTTTACTCGTGAACACCGTGTCATCGTAAGCCGTACGCTTCACTCGAACGAACATATTTCTTATTAAATTTGTTGCTATATCCAAAGCATCCGAACATAACATGGACGGGTATGCCAGCCACTTTAAGATTGATGCCATCAAAGTGCTCAGAAATATATCGTTGCATACCATTTTCTTTGTTATTGTCGTACCTGTAACATAATTTGACAAAACTTATAGTACAAAAAAAGCATCAAGTTTCGTTTAAATTTCGACTACTCACATGTTTGCAGAATGCTACACAAGTAACTAGTTGGGCATAAAGTTATTATTTCTGCCAATAATACTAACATAAGATTTCCTATATTTACATCGCACTGATCTATAATCACAGATAATATGTCGAAGTTTGGTCTTGGATCCGATCCATGTTTTAACAGTTGCAAAGACACAGATGCTATTATTGGTGCGAATGCTGTACAATACCCTTTATTTTTCTCTAGTAATGCTTTCTCCGTGAATTCTAAAATTCGATAGTTTGTATTTACACAGGAACGGGCGTCAGCGGTATGCAACCAAAGTAAGACTTCCGTCTGTAAATATATGCCATGGTCCGATTTAATTAATAATTTCCAAACAGGCTGCATACAGCAGTCGAATGTATTTGAAGGATTACATAAAATATATAGAAAAACAGGACGTAACATTTCTATGCTGTTTTTCTTGATTCTGAAATACTGGGATATTTAGTATATGCACAAACATATCCTAGAAACATACACTTTTCTACACACCCTGGATTCTGATGATTCATAATGTACATCATTTGGTTTAATACAGTTTGCCAACTGTATTTATCTTGATTTAAAATCATTATAAAAGGATGTTGCGGTGCATGTAGTGTAAATGGATACATGGCATTGTTTTCATTATTGTTTTTTAAAATCAAAGTTAACAAGCGACCAATAGCGGTAGCAGATACTACAAAATTTCTAAAACGTAAGGTGTGCTTGTTATGAAGCTTAATGAAAAATTTAAGGAACGATGTGCACTAAAATGACATATGTATACACTTACTTCATAGAAGAGATGCTGGATACAAAGGAGGTCAGTGCTTCGCCGACATCCCACAATCCATTTTCGACTAGCGCGATCAGAGCTTGACAAGCGGATGCGCTGAGTACAAGGTCTGCACTGTCTCGCTTTGCGGACAGCAGTTTAAATTCAGCTATCTGTTACAAACAATAAAATCAGAAGAATATCTAATGAAATGTTGTTTATACGCTAACATAAAATCGAAGGTTTACTTGCGAAATATTAACATTGGCACCATCGTTTCTCTTTTTCTTGATCGAATCGAAGAGTTTCGATATTGCCTGAAAGAAAAAAATATTGTATACGAAGCATTAAAACAAGAACAAAATATTCGGTGTAAAAGATGCAAATAACTCACATGTGATATCAAAACAGGATTTGCGGATTTTAATTTGTACTCTATTTCGTCCATTTTACGCGAAGAATCTGCATCAGGTAGTTCTTTTCCGATCGAATCCTACGTATTTTCTTAAACGAAATGCGGAAAATAATTCAGACGGTGCTCAGTGCAAGACAGATGTTAATTCAAAATCATGCATTCAGGTTATAACGCATAACCTACAGTTGCAGTTCTCGCACTATACACAATCAATCGAAACACGTGGGTGCACCTATGACTCATAGGCTACGAGTCGTGTGTCGAATCGTGTTACACGACTAACTTACGATTCATGCGCAACACTACTTTCAAAATTAATTATATTTGTATTGCTCTATATACTTACGCGTTAAGTATTTACAGTTATTCTGTCGAGAGAGAAAAAGCATTCCAAGTAGATCAAACGGTACGTTGATGAAATGTTTTCGCATGATAAAGAAAAACAGGATTTCTAAAGGAAAAAAGAATCGCGCCGTAGAACAATGGCTCCAATCGATGATACCGCAAAGAGTGAGATTTTTCAATGTATTTATTCGTATGGACAAGTTGGAGCATAGTGCACAATATATTTAATATATAGTAGTCTGAGGAAGGGGATCAGAATACATTCTGGAGCTTGAACACAATATCTTACAATTTAACGACAAGATGCCTGCATTTCTGTACTTGTTTTCTGTACGTAATGTTACTCGTATATTCATATATTCGAAGTGTATAATATATAAAGCGCAACGACTCGCTATTTTTATCGTTCTAGAAAAAAAAAAAAAAAAAAGGAGACGAGAATACGGGTCCTTGTTTATTACATTACGATACGTTACGATACATTTCAGTCCGTCTTCACGTTGTCGTTTGCTTTCTTTATTCGTTCCGAGGATTTTTCGCAATGGATTATGCAACATCGTGGCAAATACACAGTACTCGCTAAAGTATATCCTTAGTTGGAAGTTGTCTCCAATTGCTAAATTACATCCATTGTTTCGCGTTACGGTTTGCACGGGCCGAATTTTTAGGGTGAGATCAGGACACGAGGGACATGGATCGTATCAAAGGTGTGTGGGATGTATTATAATAATATCGAAGAAGAATGATATACCGTGGAGCAACAAGTTTTTCCTTCGAAGACGAAGTTACATACTAAATTGTCGATCACCTGAGAGAAAGAACGAATTTTACGGGTATGCGATGGGCTGCTCGGTCAAACAGTCTGTTTTCCAGATGATTTCACTGTTAGTACGAATTCGGTGTTGGAAGTATGCGAAATGGATTAAACGTTCTGGTAAATCGACGATTGGAGACATCTCCTTTACCTCGCGTAATTAGCGATTAACGATCTATAGTAAATTTTGTTTAAAAGCAAATACACTTTACAGCCTATACAATCCGTACAACTTCGTTTTTCATTTCCCTTCTTTTTTTTTTTTCAATTTTCTCTGTTTTACCCCATTCTACGAGAATTTACGTTTGCGGAGAGCGTAGGGCAGGTCCAGGTACTTAGGCTATCTGCATGTTTTCACAAAAAATTTGTCACGATCGCATTCGTCTTCTTTCTCTCTTTAGCGTTTTGTTTGTTTGTTTCTTTTTTTTTTTTTTTATAAAAATCACAGCACAGCACCAGCATTTTACTTTAAAGCCTGCCCCCATTTCTCCTTCGAACGCCTCATTAAAACTGAGACGCGACAAATGTTTACACCTCGTTTCACTGTTATTCTGCTAAATGAATCGTCGGTATTTTTTTTTTTTTTTTTTTATTCGAATTAAGAAGAACAAAAAAACACGCCTTGCTCTTTTTTGTTTTATTTGGCATTCGCGGCACTATGCACGGGACGATAAAACTATTTTCGTATTCTTGGCAACGCGTTACTTTTCTTTTTTCTTTTTTTTTTTTTGTTTACCAATCGTTCGTCGCACAAACGCTTTCGTCTCTCATCGATACAATAATAAAATAATGCAACCGATAATTATTAATGAATAATCGTAATAAAAGATACAAGGGTAATAATTGTTACTGAACTAACGTTAGGTAGCCATCCAGGATACTATGCGCTTGTATCCGTGACGGCATTAGCATATACCTAATAGGTTTTTTCCTTTTCTCATTAATTAGTCTTATTCTTCGTTTTGTCTGGCCGTTCATCCCCCTCACTCTTTCTGTCACCCTTTCGCTCCTTTACTCTCTCTCTCTTTCTCTCTTTCATTCTCATTCTCACTCCCATTCGTACACGTTCAGCATCATTCTCTCCTACATTATTCGCGGTACCGCTAACTACCGTTATTTTTAGTAAACAAATAGCGTTCTAGCGTATTCAAATGTACAATCGCTTAATGTCGCGTCATCGTCATATTTAGAATCCCGATTTTTCCCTCTATACTGTCCTACGAGACGAGTATCTCAATTATTTCCATTTTTTTTAAATATATTTATATATATATATATATATATTACCGACATAATACATCGATAGGTAATCAAATCGTCTCAAAGAATCGTGTCATCGTCCAAGTGTTTACACAATTTCTCTACAAAAATGTCGAGTTTGCGAATACGCAATTTTTCGTTTCTTTTTACAATAAAATACAAGGATCTATATAATAGTATAATGTCCACCCGTTTATGCACAACGTTTTCCTCGTTTAAAACACATTCGTACGCGGTATACACAAAACAAACAGAACAAAAAAAAAAAAAAATATGAAATCACGCAATACGCAACGCACAGCACACGCACGCAACGCGTATCTCGGTTCCCATTCGCACTCACACACACACACACAAAGTGTACCTTTCGGAAACTTTCTACGTAGGATAAAAATGTGTTGCCTTCGATGCCGATTTTTGGGAAAGGGAGGCGGACGCGCGCGCGGTTTTCTTGCGTTGCTGGAATAATTAAAAAAATTGGGTTCGCGACCCAATAGGATACACATCGACCCGCCCTTCATTGCCTATCCCCTACGCGTACAAAAATGAAGAACAGTACGGGCCATCGAGGAAGTCTTTGTCTGTCCAATAACGACATCTAAAACACGTGCATGGTACCACGGTGTATCGAGAGCCTTTTCCCTCCCCCCTCCGTTGCTCGTTCGCTAAACCAAGCGCGAGTACTTTCAAACGCATCCAACCCGCGACCATGTGGTGTTCAAGGAACAACACCACTGTTTTTTGTTCACGAATACTTTGTGAGATTCCACGACGACAACCGGAACACAAAACAGTTTGTTCCGAGGAGTCGACAACGCGACGTCCGTTCGACACGAGCCTCGGAGCGTTTACGATATACGCGTTCACCGTCCAAACATCTACACTTTTCTTCCACTGCCTATTCGAGTTTCGTGGTGTCCCTAGCATATTCTTTCCCTACCACCGTTACCGTCGCAATTTACTTCGTGGTCGCTTCGTTCTGGACTATCGCCACTCTCTCATCGATCTATCGAAGAAACTATGAAAACATAAAGAAAATTCGAAACACGACTTACGTAAAACTCGGGGCAATTTTCGTCCCAGATTGTTCTCGAATTGCGTCTAGTAGATAATGACGATGTCGTGATACCGATATTTCCGTAATTTTGCGTTCTTTTAAACAGATTTTCAGTGCACTCATTAAACATCCAAATCATCCTTCCGTCCGTCATTGAAATGTTCCACAACAAATACTAAGAAAATAATTGCTTGCAAGGCAGTGACACAAAGATACCACAAAGAATGACATTACCAATAGTAATTCTTCTAGAGTTCAGTAGATTGTAGTAGAATCGTTCGGCTCGAATTCGAAAGAGTAGCAGCCAGTCTCGCTTGTTAACCGAATGAAACGCCCTAAAGAAGCCAACTCGCTCTCTGAAACCTTCCTTCGTCCCCCCCCAGACCTCTTTCAACTCGCGAAGCAGGCTGAACAAGCGATTCGACATCCGCGTATACACGATAATCCAAACGAGACTAACAAAGGAAATTCGCTAACCCGAAAATTCAGATTTTTTTTAAATTTTGCAGGTTTGTAGGGTACCTCAAGAACAGTATAGCGCAATTTTTGTTTCTCGCCCAATTTCAGTTCTTCAGGATGAAAACATCTCTTGAAGGTAGATAGGTGTTCCCATATTTCCCTGTATATCATTAAAACTATCGTAGATATAAAGAAATGGTTATAATAAAAATCGAATGGTGCAATTAAATTGATAAAAATTCTTTGCTTAAATAAAAACATCTCCCCCACTTTTATTAATTATCAATTTAATTGCATCATTCTATGGAGCATAAAAAGCCATTCTATTTTTATTCTAACCATTTTTTTATATCTACGATGGTTTTAAAGATATACAGGAAAATATGTAAACACCTATCCACCCTCAAGGTATGTTTCCACCCTAAAGAACTGAAATTGGGCCAAAGACAAAAATTCCGCTATACTTCTCTTGAGGTCTCCTACAAATCTGCGAAGTTTAAAAAAAACTCGGAATTTTCAGTTTACCGAACTTCCCATGTGAGAGACAGTGAAAAAACGCGACTAAAAAACAAATGCCGCCGATATTATACACTTGGCAGGCGGGGTTGACAGGTGGCGCAGAAACACACATACACACACACACACACACAGCTGGCTCTGGTAGACGCTGTCGGATAGGTGTGTTGTAGCCGGCGGTAACAGGTGGCGCAGAAACACACATACACACACACACACACAGCTGGCTCTGGTAGACGCTGTCGGATAGGTGTGTTGTAGCCGGCGGTGGCCAGTCGAAGATCGTGATGGGCGTGTTTAGCGACGAAGAAGAAGAAGAAGAAGCGGCAGGCTCGAATTATCGGTATTCTCGAGAATCGTCGTATCCTAGGGCTGTCTGCCAGCGGCGGCAGAGTGCGGATGTCCCGGACCGGTCGTCCCGCTGACCGGCGGCGGATGATGAGACGTGTGGTGATTTTGTGCGGAGTTGGGTCCGGCCGTTCCGGCAGCTAGTACGGGACCGGGGGCCGCGGGTCACTTGGGCGGGAATGGCGAGATCACCGATGCGGCTACCGCGGCGGCCTGCTGACTCGCCAGCATTGCCGCTGCAACAGACACAGAGAGACAGACATCGGTCCATTAGTTCTCTTTTTTTTTTGTTTTTTTTTATTTTTTTTTTTTTTTTCGATCTGCGTTTCCGCGTGTCGTCGCCTCGTCGCGATGGCGTGGCGACAAGGCGAGACGCGTAATTTGGGGGATCCGCCCCGAGGTTCCGTGTTTTCCGAGAGTCTTTTGAACGGGAATTCGAAATTCGAATCGATTATAAATATATTCAAATTGTGGTTCACACACACACATACGCACGTCGTGATCGTTACGGATCGGATCGGTCTCTTGATTCCGGTGCTTCGTTATGGTTTTCGTCCTCGGAACATGTTTAACGAAGAAATCTTTCTCTCCGGAACGCGAGCCTAGTGTTTTGTTTTTGTTTTGTTTTTTTTTTCTTTGTTTCTTCCGTTTTGAATGTTTTCCGAGCGGTGTTCTCGATTGAAACGCTCTCGGCGATTCGGCGTCACTCCAGCCCAAGTATCGCCCCAAGGAATCGAGGTGGGGTGGTGTCTCTCGCGTGAGCAAAATTCCGGCCGTGAATGGAAGCTGCGGAATGGAAAGGATACCGAAGACAAGGGGGTTGGAGAACAGGAGAACGGCGATCGTGTAGCGCGAACAGGCGATGGGACGCGATGAATGGTACCAGGGGGAGGAGGATAGGTAGAGTCGTGGAATCGTCAGAGCTCGCCGAATGGTGTTCGCATCCATGTTGTAGATGCGTCTGTGGCTGTGTTCGAGAAATGCGACGGCGATTAGTTTTTTTTTCTTTTTTTTTTCGGTGAACATTCGCGAGAGCACGTGGATCCTCTCACTTTCTCTCTCTCTCTCTCTCTCTCTCTCTCTCTCTCTCTCTCTCTCTCTGTCCCTCGAGCAAAAGAGCCCTTCTCGGTGGAAGACTACCCAAATGTGTTCGTCGCTCGGGAAAGCTGTATATCATCGTCTTGTAAGGCTATATTATCTTCACCACTATCCTATAACCCCTGTTGTTCCCTATCGATGCGCAACGCGTAAGAATTCATTACGTGTCGAACCGTTCTCTGATCGCCATCACGGCTCGGATAACGAGCCCGACGATTTATAGCATTTATCACAGTCTGAACTATAAACTCTAATTACGCGTTTTCTACTAACTTGTTGTCCCCGCGGGCAGACGTGGCGCGTGATTCGCGCTTTACCCACGGTGCTTCACCGCGCTGGGTACTATGTTTCCCTACTATTTTTATGTTCAAAATAACCAGTTCGTAGTCGATCGACGAGTCGTTTATAAACGCGTATTTACACACGTATATATTATATACCTATTATTCGCTTCTGAATGTACCGTTTATTAAAAAAAAAAAAAAGAAAAAAAAAAAAAAGAAAAAATGCCGCTTGTACATTGCCGGCGTAGCTGACGCAGTATCGGGCGCTCGCCGTTGTCGTGAAACGCCTAGGCGATTTTATATACACATACGTTTGTCCTATATCCGTTAATCGAAGACACGTCGAATGTCGTCGTTTTTGTGTCATTAGACGTCTACTGGTCGCGTGTACGCGTCCGAATTTACGTGTTTTTCTCTCCTATCGAACAAAATAGAGCGACAGAAATGAAAAGAAAAACGGGTGGCCGGTAGCCAGGAATCGAGACGTCTTCCATGGAAAACGGTGGGGTTGTGTGAAGAGGTCGCAACTCTTGTTTCCGGTGTTCTCTGCGAGATCGTGGAAACAAGAAATATCGCACAGCAGTCGCATGCACCAATATGGTGTACCGTACAATTTATTAGACGATCAGGCTTCGACGACGCAAAAACGAGGCTTGTCGCGGTTATACGGGCGCGTGTTCGATCGCTGGCGAAGCAAAATCACTACGGGGAATATCGTCCGGAAAGCCTAATCCATGGAGACACGCGACACAATGGTTCCGGGGTGAATAAAATGCTTCTGTACACAAATGTCCTCGCTCGACCATGGTCCACCGGAAGTGGGTAACGAGGACTCTTCTCGATGGGCTGGCCGGGGAGAACGTGCGAGATGGGGGGGGGGGCCCCAATGAGCGATCAATGTACGGGGAATCGATCCGCGAGAACGTCGACGATACTATCTAATATCGAGATTTGTTGTCGCGTATCGAGACGCTTACTGTCAGGGTCTGACGAGAGGCTTACCTCCGTAAGGGGCAGGATATTGTCCGGTCAATAGGGGATAGCCTAAGCCCACGTGCGTGTGATGATGCGTGTGCACGTGCCGTTGGGGCGGGGGCGATCGATTGTCTTTCGGCAAGGATCCGTTCCCACCGTCGACGGGCGGCTGTTGCTGCGATTGCTGACCACCCGGTTGACCTTGTTGCTTCCCACCTGATTGCTGTCCGGGGGCTTGCGGCGGTCCAGGACCAGCGCCACCCGCTTGGCCTGCCACCGAGCTTGGCGGTCCGCTCGGCGGTCTCGAGGGCGTTGGTCCCGCGGACGACGGACTCGCAGAGGCCGCCGATGTCTTCGGGGTCGGGGATTTCAGCGCACGCTCCTGTAGCTCGTGTATCTTGTGCGCCGAGTAATACTGATTGGCATGGTGCTGCAGCAGATCCAACGCTTTGCCACCGGGCGGTCGGCTAAGGTCCTCCGGCGCGTGATACCTCGGCAGCTGATGGAGGTACGGGTTACCGGAATAAGGTCCCGAGACCAACATAGGACTGAGCCCTCGATAGACAGGATGCCCGGGATCGAACGGTAACGCGCCGTAATGCTGGGGCTGCATGTAACTCGGATGAATATAGGCGTACTGCGACGTCGGCGGCGGCGGTCCTTGCGTCTCCATCGTCGGTTTCACGCCCTCCTGTTTGCTCTTCGAGTCCTCGTTCTTTCCTAAATCTTGCGGTTTCTCCTGTTTCGGCTGATGTTTCGGGCTCGGGGGCGGCGGTTTCGCCTGTTGGCTCTGCTTGCTCGACTCCTCCTTTCGCCTCTGATCGCCCGGATACAGGTAATACCTCCTGTCGTCTTGCATCGGGCCAGGCGGAGGGGGAGGCGGTCCCGGCCTTTGACTCTGGGAACCGTGGTAAACGTGATACGGGCTCATCTGACTCTTCATCTCGATGCTCTCCTTCAGTATCTGATGATTCTCGTGCTGTTTGTCCTTCAGGCTGGGCTGCTGAGGTTGCGGCTCCTGTTTGATTTTCGCCTTTTGCTCGTGCATCTCCTGTTCCTGCGCCTGTTGTTGTTGCTGCTGCTGTTGTTGCTGCTGCTGCTGTTGCTGCTGCTGCTGCTGGGACACCGTTTGTGGCGGTTGATACGGGTAGCCGGGTGGCATGTAACCGCCGTAACCGCCGTAGTAGTGGGGCTGTTGCTGCGGCTGCGGAACAGACTGGCTCAGCTCCTTCTTCTCCTTCTCGGCCACCACGCTCTGCAGACTGGCCATCGTGGGCATCTGCGGAATATTCAGCGGTTTCATTTCTTGTTTTGGAACGAGATCGGTCGGTTTCTGATCGATCACCGGTTTACTCTCTTGAACGCTCGGTACCAAATAGGGTGGTTGCCCGTAATACGGGTACATGCTGAAGTGCGCCGGTAGATGAGTGGCTGCGGTTGGCTTGCCGTCCTTCTCCTGCGACTGCTTCGACTTGTCGGCCGGTTCCGCCTCGAGAACTGGCGCTGCGTCGTCGGATATGTCCGAATAGGCCGGGCTTTGGACGTCCTCCCGGGCGGAATCGACGATCGGCGCTTCCAACGGCGACGGATGGGGACTGCCACCGGGCGACTTCCTCGATTTCTTCTTGTAACTCGGCGGCTTGGCAGCGCGTAGATCTTTACTCTTGTCTTGCTCGGGCATCAGAGCCGCGGTCGGTTTAACCTTGAACTGTGGCATTTTCGCGTGCAACGACACGCTCTGATACGGTTGCAAATGCGACTGTACAGCCTGACCGGGATGAACGGTTTGCGGGGGCACGGCCGTCTGTTGCGACACCTGAGTGGCGAGACCCTGAAGACCCGGATGTTGACTCGCGATACTCTGCAAACCAGTCGGCTGTTGTTGCTGCTGCTGCTGCTGTAACCCGGCCTGTACCACGTGTGCTTGCGTCGGTTGTCCAAGCTGCGCCGACAACGAGTGCTGTACAGAGAGTTGATGCGCTGACGACAATTGTTGCTGTTGTTGCTGAACAACGGCCGACTGCAGCTGCTGCGATTGCTGGCTGGATTGGTGCTGTTGCGAGATCGCCGACTGGCTGGTTTGCAACGATTGCTGGGTCTGCTGCAGAAGCGAATTTTGTTGTTGGTGTTGCGACATCTGGGACGGCTGCGGCGGTTGCGGTATATTCAACTGCGGAGGCATGTTGTTCGCGCTCGGATGCGGCGACGGTATAGGTCTGGGCGATTGGCTGGCTCGGGGACTCGGGCTTTGCGGTGAGTTCGAACCGCCTAAAGACGACTGATTCGGTTGCGCTTGTTGCTGCTGCTGTTGCTGTACAGACTGCTGCCTGGTCGAGGTTGGAATCGTCGACGGTGGCGCGGGAAGGTCGTCCTGGCCGAACCTGAGCACGCCTGGTTTCACGATGCTCTTGTCTGAGCCGAGCACAGGGGCGGTCGGTTCTATACTTGGCGAGGCGACTCGGGGTGGTGGAGGAGGCGTTTCCGGCGGTAGGCTGGTCGCTGGGGGACTGACTGGCCTGAGCGGCGTGCCCTCGGGCTTGTCAACTGGGGATTTCACCGGCGTCGCTGGGCTAGGAGCTTCGATATTGCTCTCGTCGTTCTCTGACATGCTCGTGATGCCTTCTTTCGTGTCGTCGTCATCCGCCGAGCCGTGCGCGTGGCTCTGGTGATACTTTAAACCGTTGATGTGTTTGTACTTTTTATTGCAATTCGGTTCCGGGCACTCTAGCAACACCGGGCTCGCCGGAGGCGATCCGCTCGGGGGTGTCGGCGGCGGGGCTCGTCTTTTGTTCTTGTCCTCCTCCTCCGGTCCCCGGGACTTTCGCTTTGCCGCGGGATCCGGTCGCGGTGGAACGAAAGCCGCTGGACTCGGACTCGCAGCCGGCGAACCTTGTGCCCCACGACGGCCTTTCGCGCCGCCATTACGTAGCTTGCTGTGCACCGAACTCCTCGTCTCCGTGAAATTACTCAAATCGTTGCCTGGAGTCGCGTTTGCCGCGGCCCGTCCACGCTTTCCGCGCCCTTTCGGCGTCCGTGCATCGAGATCGCTGGTCGGGGAGTCGCAGAATCTCGGCGGCGCCCAATCGTGACGCGTGCAATCCAACAACGTCCCCACGTACGTTTTTCCACGCCATGTTACGTTCACCACCAGCACACCTGCAATCGAATACCGGATGTTTATGAGTATGTAGACGGAGAACATAACCACGTGTTTTTATATGTGTTTATACACATAAATGTACAGTGTGTCCGAGTTTTTACACGCCAATCTTTACCAGCATATTCTATAAGGAAAAATACGACAAACATGTCTTATAAATGTAGACTGTTAAATGCTTTATTAAAATGTTGTAAACAAAAATAAGAAATGATAATCAACTGGTGTCGTTGACTGATATCACACAGGTTGAAATCACTTATAATTCTATTTGAAAATGTCCGATATTAGCCAACAAATAAATCAACAGCCTCAGCAAGTAAAGATTAGAGTTTATGTAAACATAACAGATATCAACAATGTGCTTTTATGCTGTGTCCACGAAACAGCAGTTCTTAATCATTTCGTATTTTTGTTTACAACTTTTTAATCAAACATTTTAGAGCCTATGTTTGTATGACATTTTTGTCTTATTTTTGCTTGTAGAATATGCTTTTTCAAACTTTGGTGCGAAAACCTTGTAACTTTGGAACAGTTCAGTAATAATAGTGCGAGAAACAAATCGCTATCTTCGAACTATTGAATATATTAAAGACAAATCTCTATATATAGAAATCGTGAACATTGCATTAATTCCCCTATGTGATGGACTTTACAATGTTTTAAAAATATGAACTTAATATCATTTTTAGACTATTATGTACCTGTATTAAAAGCTAGACGACTTAGAACGAAATAATGTTTATCATAGGAAACAGTGAAATATTTGATACAGGAATCATGTAAACTGTCATTTTTTTAAAAAGGGGTCTTAATACACTGGGGTCCAAATATATGTTCGCACGGTAGAAACGGATTCCTAGCGTTCAACGGACGTTCGGACTTACCTCCTTCGGTTTCGTGCCAGACGATACCCTCGAGAGTAACCGACGTTCCGGGCTCGCAGGGTCCTAAACATTCTGGCTCGGTAATGGTCCCCACGCTGGTCCCGACGCACACGTCGGACATGTCCTGAAACGACATTCACATTTTACACGATCGATTCGCAACCGACTACAACGCGAATGGTCGACGGGTATCGTTGGTTTTTGGAACGAGGAATGAATACGGTGAAACCGATCGATCGGAATCGTCGAGTCACATAACGAGTGCTTGTTTTTTTTTCTTTTTTTCCAGGCAGGTATATTCGCTTGCATTTAGTGGCAAAAAAAAAAAAAAGAAGAAGAAGCAATCAAGAATATCCCGAATTCTTGGTATCAACGTCGATATTCGGGATACCCTCTTCACATTGCGTCGATTAGTAAAACAGAGAGCTTCGTATCTTTCTCGAGGCTGTGACATACTTTCACTGCCGTCCGACTATCTTCCTCCGTCCCGTTGCCCCTCGCCTCTCTTGTTCTCCCTTGTCGACATTCCCTCTGCCTATTTATCTACGCAACTTCTCGCGTATATTTACAATTAATTATTCCTATTAGTATTTTCACCTATCTTAGCATCGACGGCGTAGAACTCCACGGTCACACGAGACAAAAACAAAAATTTCACCACGTCGACACAGGTGAATCGAGACTGGATCCGGTTGATTGAATTTGAAACTTGCTACTGCTGCGCGAATCAGCCTCCAAGTATTACACGCTGTGTACACGTACACGAACGAATAACGAATCGTGTTGCGACCACAGACGACGAAAGATCGTCGAAAAAATCACTTCGAAAACCGCCAGGAGGAATTCCAAAATCGCGAGAGAATTCGTTTTTCGCGAAGTATGAACCACGACTGAGACACTGCGGTCAACATAAGAATTCTGACGTATGTGTTTTGCCCAGAGGTCCGGGAATCTCAAAGGTAAAGAGGAAAACACGATGGTGTCATTCCACTTGGATTCGTGGATCGTCGGTTCCAGTCGTGCAAAACCAGTATGTATACGTTCGTTCATCTACAAAAGAAAAAAAAATAATTTGTCCTTTCCTTACGATCGAACGAGGAACTAATTCTGATCGCGGAATTAGTACCGATCCGGAGGTTGCGCGCGCAACTCGCGATTAAGTTTTGGCGGTCGTTCAAAAGAAACGAGGATCGATCCGGGATCCGACGTTGGGCAAAATGTAATCTAATTACAAAATCTAAATTGCAATTACGATGTTTTTGCGGGACAATTACATTGTATTTTTTATTGCAAACTTGGTGTAGGGTAATTCCACACGAAATCGGACACTTTTTGGAGCATCATTTCCGATTTTGTTCAAATTTTGATATTTTGTAGTCCTTAACGATATATAAACATATCTCGAAGGATTTTTGAAAATTTTTAAAATTGTAGATTGAAAGCTGTTTGAAATTTAGGGTCAACCTTTTTCAATAAATCATAACTATTGAACTAAGAAACTGATCAAAATGAGCTTTGCAGGTACTTACAGTGGAGACATAAGAGTACTAAATAAAAATTATTTCGGTTAAAAAATGATATCTTCAACCATTTATTTTGCAATTGTTTTAAATAAATTCCCTGTTTTTGAAAAAAACTCTGTATGAACATGTATTTTCGGAAATATGGACCCTTTAAAATTGGCCGTATGAAAATTAATTGAAGTGAACTATATAGTTAATTGCAACGTAAGTGTAATTGTAATTGTCTTGAAAGTACATTGAAATTACATTATAACTGTGATTTGGATTTTGTAATTAGATTACAAATTGCTCGTTGTCCCCGCATGAGGCAGCAGCAGCACGGAGCGTCGTAAAGAGAACATACCTGCCTGGCTTGAATCTCGTTTGCACGCGATCTACTTTGTGCCGTATATTTTCATCGCGATAACGATGACTAACGACCATCTACCACCCTTTCAACGGGCAATCGATAAAAACTTCGTCTTGGTTCTCTCCACTGTCGATCTAACGAATCGACTCGACCGATCCCGATCGAACGGTTTGTTAACGGAAAGATAACACCGTTGAACACGTAACAAATTTTGCTATTTTAAATAGGCTTTTTTGAATATGCAAACCTTTTATTTCTAGCACATTCAGTTTTTGAAAAAATCTATTTTTTTTTTTTTTTTGAAATTGCATATTTTCAATTTTGGAGCTATGTTGTGCTTTTACGGTGATAGTTATTCAGTTGCTTTCGACACGAAATAATTCTCTACGATCAAAATGGTATAAATTGTTATTATATTATAGATAGATTTTTGCTGATATTTTTCAATTTATTTCAGAAAATAAGGGTCTAGGAAAACATCTAACCGTAGCACGCGATAAAGCAGACGTTTCTGCTGAGGAAACTGTCAAGGAAAGTTACAATACATATTTCCTTTTCAACAGAGAAGCGAAACAGTTCAGCAAAACACGCGGCGGCGACAGTGGTACTCAATAACGGCGATCGCCTTTTCTGGCCGCTCAACCTAACAAAAGCGCTAAACGTGCTTAAACGAGACCGCCGTCATTGAGTACCACTGTCGCCGTCGCTGTTTTGCTGAACTATTTCGCTTCTCTATTGAAAAGAAAAATAATCCAAAAAATTATTTCACGTCGAAACCACGACACAGTCCCAAAATTGAAAACATGTAATTTATTTAAAAATTGATTTTTTTAAAAACTAAACAGACTGGAAAGAAACGGTTTGCAGATTTGTATTCATCTTATAAAAATCTACCAGGATCGCTTATTGGAGGTTACAGAAACGCAAAAAACTTGTTTCGAAAAGAGTCTTCGTTTTCGACTCGGACCGGCGAGAACTTGTTTCGATTTGTTCACGACCGATCGAACGTCTCATCGCAAACCAATTCTATACCCTCAGAGATTCTAAATACATACATACACTCATACGCCACGCACACACACGTTCCTCCTTCGCGTTTCCCCACCTAACTAACTACTCTGTATATCCCCTACGTAGCGTAATACCCTAGGCGAGCCGTTGCTCCCCTCTTCGCCCTCTTAACTCCACTCGACCGTCAAACGATACAGCCGTTTATATTTCCGTGCTTAAACCGCTAATCGGCCTACGGCGCGCTGCCTTCAGTCTGCCGATTAACTGGCATTTGTTCGTTGTCGTCCGTTACCTTCATCCCTAGTCGTACTTTTTGCCCGGTTCCGACGAGATGTTACAGGGTGGTGGGTTAACACGCGCGTGAAAGCACGAATAACGTTTATCGGGAAACTGATTAAACGGCGATCGGACGGAAAACCACCACCAAAAACCATCCAGGCCGTGATCGTGTGAATTCCAAGGGCCGAAAAAACAATTCGTCTTGCGAGGAATTTTCCATACCCTTTTCAACCCAGTGACGGGTGAACCGCGGGGAACGAGAATCAACAAGAGTGTTTGAGTACAGAGACGGAGGAACGTTTTTATTGTTGGTTTGTGCCACGAGATTATCGTGTCCGCCACCCACTTAGCCCCGCTTGCATCCCAGACCTCATTTATTTTTTTCTTTCATCGTTGCCTCATGACATCCAGTCAGACTCAGACAATATCAAAATGAACTCAACAATTATTTTCTTTTTTCCCAAAGCGAAGTACTAGTTTGCTGATATTAATATTTAACTTTTAGAGTAAATGTACAATTTCGATACGTACACGAAGTCCTTTTTTTTTTCTGGGGAATTATCGATGATAAAGTAATTCTAGCGATTACAGACGTGAAGAAAATTATAGGGCAAGGGGTTAATAGCATTGCACAGACGGTTTTTTTTTCTATGTCTTTAACACGTTGACTGCCAGAACCAACGGCGATAAAAGAGCAACTTGATCAACAAAATTACAACTTTGAGAATTTCATTCTGACCGAAATTTCATTCATTTCAATATTTCACCCAAAACTTTTGTTTTCAATTATTCCCTTAAACGATGTCACCGATATCTGGGTGACGTGGCAGTAAACGTGTTAATCCAAAAGCACGATCGTCCTTTATTCACAAGTTGCCCAAAGATACGATCGCATCGTGTACGTATCGCCGGAGCTGATACGAAATTTCATTGTACTCGAAGCCTCGATTCTATCGATATTACGATGCCAGAGATCGTTCGTTTATCCCCGTTATAGATTTCAGCCGTTCGGCCGTCAGCTTCCGCGTTCGTGTCGCGAATGGTGAATACGTAGACGAAGCGAGCAATCAACAGCTAGAAACGAACGTAGAAATATTGATTTACGCCCAAGCTTTCGCGCCATCTGTCTATTGGACGGGAGGGTAATGCATTTCGTTGCGCGGGACAGGACATCATCTAATCGGGGGAGGCTACAAAGCAGGGAGATTCGTCTTGATTCGTAAAGTCGAGATCCCCGCCAAATGTATGCATGTTCGGGGAGAGTTCGACGAACGATAAGTACGAGCGTCTTTACGAAAGCGTGTAACTCAGGCAGAGGCATGGGGGGGGGGGGGGGGGGATCAGCAATTTAGGCATCAACAAACACGATGAATCGGTTACAGGAATCCATCATGGAATCTCACGGGTTACCAGCGATCGGTCAAAACTAAAAACGAACAGCGGTAAAAAAAAAAAAAGCACTTAATTGAAAGGAAATGGACAGTTGCGGCGAAACGGTGGAAAAGGGTAATCGGATCGGGACGAACGGTTGGACGGTCGGCCCCGACTACAGAAGCATCTCGCCGGCACTCGTATTTGTCCCTGTGTATTCGTTCGTGTACTCACGGGGGCGGAGACCGCAGAGTATTGATTTCACCCCCTATCCCTCCCACTCTCGACCATCCCCAATTCCGTCGAAACCACCGACGACACCGAGCGCGCGAAAACCATCCTCCTAATCATAACCCAAAAGAGAATCGTCTTCGCTGATCGGTAATCGAAGAGAAAACTACTTGCTGGCGAACCGGGGTAAAAAGGTTTCATAATTCCCGTGACCATAGAACTTAACACGATCATCGGCCGATGCATCGAACGCGGAACACCTGTGTATGTACGTGTATATATGTGTAGCAAGGAAAAAAACAAAGGCATTAGAATAAATAGGAGAAGAAGAGAAGAAGCCGACAGAGCAAGAAAAAAAATCCCCGATGCGATTGGGACGTTCGACGAGGAATAATGCGCGAAGCGTTTACCTTTGGTTCGGAAGCGGAAGTCTTCAGTTTCTTGGCAGGCGGAGGACTCGCCGCGGTATCCATGGCGTCGTCGGGCGTCGTGGCGATCGAAGTTCCGTTACCGGGTACCGCGGCGAGTTTCGTTTGCTCGGGCTTGGCGGCTGGGCCAGCGGCGGTAGCGCTTGCCGGGCTCGGGGGCGGACAGGGGGCCGCGGCGGAATTGGACGGCGGGCTAGGCCCCTGGGAAACGGAGAACCCGGTCCGTGAGCTCGGCGGCGGTCCCTGATTCTGTTGGGGAGCGGTCGCGGCCGCGGGCGGTCCCTGTGATTGCGCGACCGCCCCCGCCGACCCGGTACCGGCCCCGAAACCCGAGCCAGGCCCCGGTCCAGGCCCCGTTCCCGGTCCGCCGCTCGACGTTTGACTCTGCCCGTTCCCAGCGACACCACCGCCACCACCTCCACCGGTACCGCTTGGCCTAGCGCTACCATTCATCTCCGGTTTATTCTGCTGCCCCGATGCATGATTGCTCTGCGGTTTCTCGTGCTTGTCCCGCGTCTTGTCCCGCCGATGTCCACTCGACCCCCTTTTAGATCCGGCGTTCGAAGAGTTCGTGCTTCCGGTCCCGCCGGCGGTCCCTGCCGAATGGCTAGGCTTCGATTTGTTCGACGACGAAGACGACGATGACGACGTAGAAGACGAGGACTGTCCACCTGGCCCGCTACCACCACCGGCACCGCCAACACCACCAGCGACGCCGACACCGGCGCCGGGACCACCGACAACACCGCCAGTCCCACCACCAGGTGTACATACGGTACCGCAACCGGTGGAACCATTGCCACCGCCACCGGTAACGCAGCCCCCACCGCCGCCGCCGACGCCGCTGACACCGCCGCTGCCACTGCCGCCGCCGCCACTACCACCGACACCGACACCACCACCAACACCACCACCGGCACCACTACTGCCACCGAGTCCAGCGGCGCATTCCGAGTTCTGAGCGTTCGGCCCGATAGCCGAGCCGGTCGACGAGGAACCACCACCACCCGAGCCCCCTGTAACGGACGAAACGGAACCGGCCGAGGACGTTACCGAACCACCGCCGACCCCGCTACCGGGCTCCTGATTCGACACCGTGGTCCCGTTGATCTCGTTCGATTTCACGATCTCGTGTTTGGCCTCGCTACTCTTGGTGCCCGGTTTCGTGCGTTTGATCTTCATTTTCAGGCCTTTGTCGACGGTGGCCGAATGTTCAACGGCCATCTTGCCGGGATTACCTGGATTTCCGTGGGCGGCGTTCACGCCGCTCGTCACGGCGTTTATCTGTTTGCTACCACCCGTCGTGCCGGGAACGATCTGCGCGGAACCGACGTTCCCGTTCCCGGTGGTACCGTTGCTGCTGCTGCTGCTGCTACTGCCGACGACGTTACTTACGACGTTTCCGTTCCCGTTATTGGGACTGTTGGACCGTCCGGAGGAATTCAGACCGCAGGAAGACGACACGGACGTCGGCAACGAGGAAGACGATGACGATGACAACGACGACGACGAGGACGACGCCGACGAAGAGGAGGACGACGAAGACGACGACGACGACGACGACGACGGCGAGTTCGATGATTGACCGCAACCGTTCGGACCCGATGACGCGACGGACGAAGACAAGCCGGACGCGCTTAAGCCGTTCGTGGAATTTTGAAGCTGATGATGATGATGATGGTGGTGGTGGTGATGATTCGTGGTATTCGAAGCTGATGCTGCCGAGGCAGGCGTAGAAGCCATGCCTGTCGTCCCTGTGCTCAATTTCTCGTCCCTCGTCTTCTCAATGTCCGCATCAAGATCGATTATTAGATCTCCGATTCCAATATCCCATTCGTTGTCGTCGTACTCGAAGTTGTTGGTCGCATTCGTCGCGGCCGGATCCAGCTCATCGGTGTTTGCAGCCACCGTGCTTGCTTTAGCGTCACGCTGCTGTCCCGATGACGACGACGACGACGACGACGACGAGGACCTGTCCCGACCTTGATGATGATGATGGTGGTGATGATGGTGATGATGATGATGGTGATGGTGATGATGCCGATGGTCCCGATGTTCTCTACCTATCGAGCCACGTTGTTCCTGTCTCTTCGACGTTTGACCCTCACCACCTCCTCCTCCTCCCCCTCCTCCGTCGTTATTGCCGACTTGTCCACCGTTGTGTCTCCCGCTGCTGGTACCGTTGTTGTTGTTGTTGTTATGGTTGTTATTTCCGCCGCCGCCGTATCTTCCCCTACTACCACCGGCAAGATCGATACTGTTATCGTTGCCGGTCTCGATCGCACCGCTGACTTTACCGTGACCGTCGACGCGGTTGTTGTTGCTTTCGCCAACGCTGTTGTTGTTGCGATGGCCAGCGTTGTTGTTGTTGTTGTTGTTGTGATTGTTATTCTTATTGGCGTGGTTGTTGTTGTTGTTATGGCCGCTATGGCCACCGCTGGCGCTGTTATTATTACCGTTGCCGTAATTAGCGCCGTTACCACCACCGACGAACGGAGATGGTCCTTTGCGGTTTACGTTAGGGAGGCGACCGCCTAGTGGCGTGGTCGCCATGCCCTTTGAAACGTTTCCCCGGCGCCCGCCAGCCTGATCACCGACTGCCTGCCTGTTCTCACCGATTCCAAGCAATCGCACCGCGCGCGACACGCGTCCGTTTTACCCCAACCTCCGCCCGCGAGACGCGCCTCGTTCATCGAACACATCACTTTACTGTCTCGCAGCCTTTCCTTCTACCGATATTCGCGGATACCTCTCTTTCTCTCCGATATTCAACGCCCCCTTTTTTTTTTTTTTTTTTTTACTTTCACTATCCTTTCTTTCTTCTCCGGCTGCCGTCCTTGTCCTCGACACGCTCGTTCGCGGGGCCCCGCTCAACCACCGTCGCCTAGGTTCTATCGCGCAACCAACAACAGCCGACCACCGTTCCTCTTCTTCTTCGCTGCGCACTCCTTTTCCTCTTCCTCCTCCTCCGACTCCGCCGTCTTTCCGTCTTCTTCCCTCGTCCCTTCGACGACGACACTTTTCGCAACACCGTCGGCCGCTACCGCGAATCTCCTCGTCCTGACGCGCCCCCGCTCTCTCCCTCTATCCCTGGTATCCTTTATCGCATACGACCGATATCGTGGTCAGGCCCACGTTTCATTCCAGCGCGTTCTCGACTCTTCAACGAAGTTCACCCCGTGTAGCGCGTTTCCTTAGACGCTTTCCACAGGTATCCTTTGTCTTTCGTCTTTTTAAGCACCAGGGCCCGGGCACGATTTCCCCTCTCGGCTCGACGTTAAAACTGCGATCGTCCTCCAGCTGTTCGTCCTAGCTTCGATCTGTAACCAAAAAACCAGAGCTGTTTTAATCGAGTTGCGACGGCATCATACGGGCACACACAATTAAACCCTTGCCTTTCGATTTTCTTTACGTTTACAGTCTTCGGAAATACTTTACTATATTACATACTCCTCTCGATTATCGTCTGGCTTGTTCTATACGATTATTGTCCAGGTGTTATCCCCTACTGGGGGGTGGAACCTATCATACTCTGTTGCCCCTCCGTTTTATTTCCGAGCTCAGGCTTCGGGCAAGAAACGAATTCTTGGGGTCTGAAGCGTTCCTCCCTATAAGATTATTGTCCTGAGTTGGGGACGATAATCGAGACGAGTCTGTACTAGCTTCCTAGAAACAAAAGTAATTATGTACTAATTGCGAGTGTACATTCCCTCCGAAATGTTAAATATTAATACCATGCAGAACAGTATTTCACTTCGACTCAAAGAAAATGAATAATATTAATGTTTATGAAACCCAATACTGAATATCGTCACCACGAGTCCCACTCGATGTTATAAGGCAAGGGGTTAACTATGCATACGTTCGAAACGGAGCAATGAACGTGAAAGAAAAACGCGATAAAATCGACGGGACCAGCCAGGAAATAGTCTTTCCAGCGACCTCCTACCCCCCCCCCCTCCGTACGACGTCTCATCGAACAGTTGTTCCACCCGACTACAAATTGGTATTCCCGCTAAGAGGGGAATTCGTGTCAGGGAACGATTAATTTTACCGGTGGCATTTGGCAACTGTCCAGTCGCGTCACTGTGTATACGCGCGTCGGTGTCGACGTCGCCATCGGAGACGACGGTCAACCACGCGTAAGACAGAGTTAAACTATTCGGTGCAACATTCTCTTCTTCCATTTACGTCTTTCACTCTTTCACCGTAAATGCGATACAATGCATGTAGAGACTTCTCTCGATGATTGTCTGACTTGGTCTACACGATTATTGTCCAGCCGTTATCCCCAAAACTGAGGTCAAACATTGTTGCCCCTCGGTTTTTTTACCGAGGCTCGGGCTTTGGGCAAAAAACGAATTTACGAGGGACTGAAACATTTCTATTTTAAATCCGTCGCGAACGTATGTATAGGGTAAGACGTTGAGGAAGGTTTTTAACGCGAAGATATTTATATTAGTGACACTGAATAATTATAATATGGACCGTTTATTTTGAAAGTGGTGCAAATCCATTTTCCAATTCTATTTCATTTTATTTTAGTTTACACTAAATTAAGCATAAATTACGTCGTATCTCATTTTTTTTAAAAAAGGACTTACACCACTTTCAAAATAAACGGTCCAATGACGTAATTTATGCTTAATTTAGTGTAAACTAAAATAAAATGAAATGGAATTCGAATATATTACGTGGGTCCAATATATTACGTGGAAAAAAGTCGATATGTGTGTTTTTTGAATTTTCGCCATGAAAGCCGAGTTTCCAGACCATATGTACAATGAAATGAAATTCGAATATATTACGTGGGTCCAATATATTACGTGGAAAAAAAGTCGATATGTGTGTTTTTTGAATTTTCGCCATGAAAGCCGAGTTTCCAGACCATATGTGCGTAGTATTGAATCCGCCGTCTTGAATTTTTTTATGTCAAATTCGTTATCAGTGATCTCGAAAACGTTTGATTATCAACATTTCAAAAGTTTCAATGACATTTTGAGATCAGTAAAAACGCGTTTTCAGAGCATTGTGCACTGGCCCATGTCTCCAGGACTAACCCTATATGTACATCGAAAATAACGAGACTTCTCAATTTTCTGTCGACGTCAGCCGTTTCGTTCCCCAGTCTTCCCCTCTTTAACTCTCCACTTACTTCACCCCCGCCCCCTCCCCAAGTGTACCTGCCAATCAGTTTCTACCGTGATTCGGCGTGGGACGGATATCTCGTCGGATTGAATTCAAATTACGACAAGTTAATATTTCATTACGCTTGTCCGTCGTGACTGTCTCGCGGGTCGGGTCTAGATAGCCTCTCTTGAATAATTGAACGATCGTGGAAAGCGGAATGGCGAAAGCCTGTTTCCTTTCTAATCGAGTGCACCGCCGCCGCCGTGATCGTTGCCACCATCGTGACACGGCTGGTACCCCGTCTACGCCTAGCGAATACTTTTCAAGGAATATACAGTAAATCTTCGATTAATGCTCGGAACTGAAGCCAGCTTTGGAATAGTCGTCGTTGCATGTTTGCATTTTAAAAAAATTATGAAAGTTTATGTTACTTTTATGTTTGTATTCATCTTTATATTGATATTTATGTCTATTTATGGACTAAATAAAAATATCATTTAAAAGCAACATTCCTTTTAGATCGTTCTCTTCAATTTAGATACGGTGTTATCCCTGTAGGGCAGCGGTTTCCAACTTTTATGCTACTACGCGTCCCCGGAAAAAAAAAATAAAAATAAACATTCATTCACTGAATGTTTACTGTTACGTTACGATATGAAGTTTTGTTTATTTGTACATATTATGGTATGAAAAATAATTTTGTCCCCCCTACTTTAGACGTCGCAAGAGACACGCGGAAATTTTCGCTTCCTTGCGTGTCCTCGAAACTTTTCGAAAACTCGGAAAGCCCGCGGTGCACGCTCGCTCGATCCAGTCGTTACGATAGCATCGTGTTTACCGAGAACAACGATAATATTTACTGTTACGTAGAGACACCGCCGAGTCGGCGCACTGTAGATTAATTTAACCCGTCTGGCTATTATCGAACGACTACTGTTTTTATTCCTATCGTTTCTATCGATAGATATTTATAACGCGTTCAATGTCGATCGAGATTAGGTAAAACACGTTCGAACGCTGTGGGCATTGTAGCGACAACCAGTGATTATCGCGTGGGCTTTCGCCGGTGCTTCCGAATGGAAGGAAAAACATGTTTCGTTTGGCAACGGAAAGCTTCCTGGTTGAGTTGGCTGTTGGAATTCCTCGAATTTTTACCGACGTTCGTGTCACGAGGGAAAATCATTTTTACTACATCAGATTATTATTCGTATCGATCTTGTATTTGTCTTTCCGCGTTTCCTTGATTATTCTTCCATGTAGGTATTTAACGAGCAATTTTCAACGGTCATGTAATTGATTTATTTATTTTTATTTATTAATTCAATTATTAACGAGATGAATACCCTTTAGTATAAAGTTATGGTAACAAGAGAAGGACGTATATAAAAATGAAAATAAATAATGTGATATTGATTATTGACAATGCGAAGTTGTTAAACTATACCGAGACAAGATGTCATCGTAGATATGGCAAGTCACAGGGTTACCAGCACGATAGGCTAGTAAACGCAAAAATTTATGCTGGACACTCCCTAAAGAAACGATGTGACACTTGTGATAGGGTGACCAGATTATAGAACAATACTCCAGAAGGGGTCTGACCAGTGAGCAGTACAGTAGAATCCACGTATTGAAAATTTAAAAATATTTACAAACTCTATTAATACACCCAACGATTAATGTTTAATGCTTAATTAGAATAAGCTTAATGCTTTATCTAGAATAGTGCTATAAGTGTTCAGTAAATGTAAGATTAGAGGAAATGGTAATTGATCGAAAGATGCCCGTTTTCTATGGACAAGCAAGAAGTCGAGAAGCGAGATGGGTCAACAAATTTCAGCTTGAAGTCAACTCGATATTCCTTGATTTGCTGGAAACAGGGAGCCCGAACCGATTCGATCAGACGACACTCGTATCAATCCATTCTGTCGTTACATATGCCAATTTCTCGATTCCCATATTTCCATACCTCCCTGTGTCCCATCTACTCTCCCCGACGCATTCATTTTCCCCTCCCTCGATGCGACAATTTCGTTGAATATCGTTCGGAACGTGTTTCAGTTTGCTCGACCAAAAACCAGGAAGCTCTGTCTGCTTCGACTGAATCGTTCCGTTGACCGAGTTCCACGCCGCGTTAATTGCCAGCATGTTTAACATCTGATTCGAATCTGTGCACTAAGATATTATCTTCTATAATCGCTGAACAGGAAGAAATATCAAAAGATTCCAATATTGTTGAATATAGTTCCAATATAGTTCCGAATGAAGGTGGCTCACGCAAATTTTTAATAATTATAAATTCAGTGGAAAATTTAACAGAACATTCTTATAAGCTTCAACTTTCGATTGCTACCAAAAAATCGCAAGGTCAACGATAAAGTTATTGAAAACGAAAGGTTATAAAAATTTTTTTTTAACACGACAAGTTAATCTTCTTATTTAACTACAAAAAATGACATTTTCATAAAAATGGCATGGAAAGAAAGATATGTTAATGATTAAATAAAAATGAAAATTAGGTTTCAATGCGTTTGGTAGTATCTTCTACGCATGTCTGCTATGAGTGTCAACGTCATTTTGTTTTCCTTTGGTTTGTTCGACGAAGTTTTCAATTTTTTTTTTTCAAAAATTAAAAAAAAAATTTTTGTTCATTTCAGTATTTTTAGGTAGTTTAAAATAT